AGTGGAAAGAAATGACTGTGGATGTAGAAGACAAAATAAACAGTCACTTTGGCTTTGCAAAATTGTCATGATATTGTGGAGCAATATTTTTATTTCCATTGCAGAGATTAGTACATGTTCTGCCTCGTAAAACCAGTGCACCGATTTTACAATGTTCCGTATGCGAAAATGCTATCTTCCCTTCTCCTTCACTCCCCTCGCGCACCCTTCTCCCCCTTTCCTTTTCTTCTCCCTCTTGCTCCCTCCCCCCTTCCCCACCGACGTTTGTTGGTGCAAAGTTCGCTGGCAACAAATATATCTTGTTGTAAACTGAAAGCTTGTACAGATCTGTTTCGTCCTTCTGTTTGTTTTGTGCTTTCTTACTGTTACATCTGTTCCAACACGCTCGTCAAAATCTTCTTAACTATTTTTTTTGCATATCTGAGTCTGTCTTCAGTTCCTGTTTACACTGCCCTGGTGACATTGAGATAGCATGCTGGCCTATGATGAAACCTGCTCAGGTGGCTTCAGTGTACAGAGTTGCAGCCCAACTGCGAATTATCGTCACATTTCCCTTATTTCAGGAGGTAGTCGGTTAGACTGTTACATGCGGATAAACTAAAACTCTGCTGTGAAGGAATTGTTGGGAAACTGAGCCTTGCATGGGGGGGGGCACATGTCTCGGTCAGAAGAGAAACTGTCCCCAGTGACATACCTTCACACTCTTTTCCCTCCTCTTTGTATGTTTGTAACTTATTATTTAATGTTCATAACCAATATGAAACACACATTGGTTTTTTCTAGGGCTGGGCAATTGGTTGATTAACCTACCACTTAATACTTTAATCACAATACATTTTTTTAACCGGTTAATTGGTAGAATTTTGACAGACCAAAAGTAAAAATTAAATGCTTTCACCATGCAGATGTGGATGAGTACACCTATATGAAGGGCATATTTTCGGTGAAATTTTAACCTAAAGTAAACTGTAAATCTGAGACTTGTAAATCCAGACAAGTGCAGAAGTTTACACGTGTCCCGGCCACTTCAATGCCATGCGAGTGTCCGTTTAGCGCAGCAGAGACTATTGTGAACAGTCCAAGGTGGCCGCTGTTGCTGGAGAATATCAACAAACTTCCTTGCCTCAAGCAGCTGAAGTAATAATCTGCGAGTGTGAGTGTCTTTGAACTGTACAGAACAATGTATCGACCTTGATTTATAATTGAAATTGTATATTGCACCGTTTGTCACATATTCAGCAATGGGAAAAAAAAAGACATATATATATATATATATATATATATATATATATATATATATATATATATATATATGTGATTTTGAGTTATGAATGAGACCAAATAATGAATAATCAATTAATCGGGTTAAAATTTTGATCGACGCCCAGCCCCACTTTTTTTCTTTTCATGTAATGGCAGTCGCGGAAAATGTTTCAGAAAAACGAGCAGTGTTCACCCCAACTCACAGACAGAACAAATGGCCACATGATCTAGAGCCAATTACCAGAAGCATACTACTTGGATTCACAATTTTGTTTTCTGCTGCAGATACCGGTCACCTAGATGTAGGCACGCATGTCCACCTTGACAGACTCCCACAAGAGCCGAATGCCCTTGCATTACTTGTGTGGCAGCTTCTCTATGCCCTGCTGGAACCCCTTTTACAGCTGAGCTGTTAAGGGCTGGTTTCCCCGGGATCGTGTCCCTCACAAAGAAATGAAGACACCGAACTCTGGACATCTACCACCATCTATGAGCGACGGCGGCAAGCCACCTATCTGGTTGCCGCCGTCGTTCATAGGTGGCGGCAGCGTTTCCACTTTGGCTTGCCGACTTGCGGCCAGCCGTTACTTTCCATTGTACAGCTCCGCTGGTTTTCCTTCTTCACCACAGTGGAAAAGCTGAAAGTTTTTTTCTCGTCATTTGTCCAACTTTTGCATATTGCAGTCATATCGGTTGTCAGAGTCCTTTACTAAAAAAAACCCAAAAAACAATGATTTTTTTTTTTTTTTTGTGTTTTACATTTACACCTGGACAGCTGCTTCCCATGTATTAATGGCTGCGAAATGCCACATTTTATGTGATAAACACTGGGGACCCGGGCAGGCCATACACGATTCAACATCCGACTGGTTGTTTAACATGCCAAAAAGACTGCTGAACCCGATCAGACACTGGCAATCACAGACTCACAAGAATGCAGCGGCGTAAACTTTCCATCTTCCCGGGGGAAAGGGGGGGCAGGCTGAGAAGTTCTCCCGGGGGGGGGGGGGGGGGGGGGGGGGGAGGAGGGGTGTTTTCCGCCCAAGCGGAAAAGCACCCCCCTCCCGGAAGCATGCTGGGATTCTATTTTTCATGCATTTTGTCAATAAAGGCAACGTGGGCATTATTTTGTTTACATGCCACTACTAGAAAC